GAACGTGCGTTTATCGCGTTTACATCATCGGATTACGGGGCGAGGGGGGGGCAGGGGGGGGCACAAGTACGAAAAGATTCGTGGTAGGATTCATGATCAAATGATGAGAGGCTTCGAATTTGAACAACACGTTTTACCTGACTCTGACATTTCGTCCGCTCTCTCGACCAAGTTCGTCCCCATTTTGAAATGTACGTAGGGTAATTTATATTTCGTGTGTTTTTGTTTTATCTCTTTACTTTTTTTTCTCTTTTTTTTTTGTTTTTTTTTTTTTTTGTTTTAAATCCCGTATTAATTGTCTCGGCCCCTCGACGTTTATGAAACCTCAGATATGTGTTTTTTTTTTTTTCGTTTGTTTGGTCAACGACGGACTAACGAAAAAGGGACAAACGATCGTAATCGTGACGGTTGTTTTTTTTTTCTTTTCTTTTTCTTTTTCCGTTCTTTTTTTTTTCTTCCTTTCTTTTTTCTTTTCTTCCTTTCTTCTTTTTTCTTTCTTTTTTTCTTTCTTTTTCTTTCTTTTTTTTTTAATTATAACATCGCGTCGCGTCAATGGGAATGGGTTAATGGGATGGAGAGGAGGGTGGGGAGAGAAATCGTTTCGTAATACGTCGAATTATTAAAATTTGTATATGGCACAGATGAAAATGATTGGGGGCGGGGGGGAAGGTAGGGAGGATGAGAATGATTTGTAATAGAGAACGAAACATAGAAAATATGATCTTAATTATCGATATCGAGACGTGGGATCGCGACGATCGAGAATGTTTTATTATCTTATTTTTCTTTTCTTTTTTCTTTTCTATTCTTTTTCTTTTTTCTTTTTTTTTTTTTTTCTTTTTTTTTTTGTTTTTTTATTTTTTCCTTCACTTTGACGCGCGCGACATTTATACTTATCTATTCAATTTTCACGAGATAGGGAAAGGAAAGAAAAAAAAACAAGAAAAAAAGAAGAAGAAGAAGAAAAAAAAAAGAAAAAAAAAATGAAGGGTAAAAAATTCGATAATTTGTAAAGGACAATTTTCGATAAATTCACGCGTGCAACCAACCCACAGACTTTAAATGAAAAACTTTACTTTTTCTTTTTCTTTTCTTTTCCGTTTGTTTGTTTGTTTGTTTGTTTGGTTGTTTGTTTCTTTTTTTTTCAATTTTTTTTTTTCCTTTTCTTTGACTCTTCTCTTCCGTCTCTTCGTTCGTTCGAGAAGGTATTAAGTTTCTTTCTTTTTTTTTTCCTTTTCTTTTTCTTTTTCTTTTTTTCTTCCTTTTTTTTTCCTTTTTCTTTTTTTTTTTTTCTCTTTTTTCTAAACCCTTACCGCCGATAGCTTCCGTTCAAAACTGTAACCGTCGATGAAAAAGAGTAACGAAATTCTCTCTGGTTTCTTTTCTTTCTTTTTTTTCTTTTTTCCCCATTTTTTCGCTCTTTGATCTTCCCTTCGTCCTTGACGTCACGTAGTCGTGGCGGAGAATAGAAGATCACGAAGAGACGATCAATCTGGAATGGAGGTCCTTGGAAGTGTCGTCCTTGGATATATTCGAATCACAAACCACTTTGAATGGGTATCGAGCTCAATTCGACTTTTTCTAATTTTCCGAAATCCCTAACATTATCCCTAACAATATCATTTCTCTTTGGCGAGGTTGAGGTAAAAAAAAAAAAAAGAATTTAACACGTTATAATTTACGTTCTGTTTTCTTTTTCCTTTTTTTTTCTTTTTCTTTTTCTTTTTCTCCCTCCCGAACCGCAAAAATTCTCGCATAGATTTAAATCAATGAATCTTTTTTTCGATTGGAAATAAGACGATCGGCAAAGATTCGTTGGTATAAAGGGCAATTTTTTATTATTATTATTATTACAAAGGGCAAATTAAAATCCCTTTCGCGTAAGCACGTGTGATTGGTAACAATTATGGGACCAAGGATATATATTGTCTTTCATGTTGGATAACAATTTAGAAAAAAAGGGAAATAAAAGAGCTCGAAAAGCAAGGATTTCCGATTGTTTATCCAAGGATACAAGGACGACACTCTAGTTTCCTCGGTTTCGTAAAAGCTATCGAAGAAGATAGTGAGATCCGATTGATTTTCTTTTGTGTCCAAAGAGGTAGGTAAGTATATATATATATATATATATATATATATATATATATATATATATTACCTAGTACATACGCCAGTGAGAGTAAAATACCTGGGTGACGGGATTTTCGCCGGGACGATAGACGACGTTGTGCATCGGTCGTTTGCGGCCAACGTAATTCACGCAGACAAATTCAAGAAGGCTCGCATAAATGAAGCACATACAGACGCCATCCCAAACGTTCATGGCGGTCAGATTTGAAACCACCGGCAGCGTTCCGCGGAAACCATTGGACGTCGTGAAGAAATTCAACATGGTTGTTACGCCTGAAAATGAAATAAAATTAAATTAAGATATATTTATATTTAATCATTTTTTTCTTCTTCTTCTTCTTCTTCTCTTTTATCTCTCTTTCTTTTTTTTTTTTTGTTTTTTTAGGTCAAATATAACCAAATATAAGGTTTGCGCCGTACTGATAGTCAGATATTGTAAAGTACACTGCATGATTAATTGGGGGAGGAAGGGGGGAAAATGAAAAGAACGAATCCATCTCTCTTTTTGTTTTTTTTTTTTTTTTCTTTTTGTAATCCCATAAAATTTTTACGTTCCAAGCATTATTTCTCAAGGGAAATAATGATCTGTTACTAGGATGCGAGAGCTAATATATCCAATATGGCGGTTATATTCGCCGTAAAACTTTCTTCTTTATCGCGTCGTTGCATTAATGTTTAGAGGGTGAGATGAACCATAAGAGAATGAATCATTACGGTTGACTGAACTAAGTTATTTAAGATCGATGGATAATGACGTCACAGACTTTTTTCCAGATTTTTTTCCCCACTTTCTCTTTTTAAATCTCGCATTAAACAAATTTGATAGGAAATATTTTCACGCGCGGAAAGATATGTCTTTCTTCTTTTTGTTTCTTTTTTTTTTCCTATACTTTTTTTTTCCTTCTCATTTCAAGAACTCGCTCGAACGAAAGAGATCGAGTATTAAATGGACGGGTCTGACAATGAATTTATTTCTTTAATAAGTTGCAATTTTCTTACCGATCATGACGCGTGCCGGTACAGCGTTCCACTCGAGCCAAAACGTGATGAACGAGCTGGTGACCAAAATGATACCCGGGATGAAAACCGTCGTGAAGTAGAAAGCACGATCCCGGGTGAAGATTAGATCCACTTTCAGGCAGCTGTAGTTACCTGTACGGTCCCACCAAAGAACGTTGGGATTTCTTCTGACATTGATATATATATATATATATATATATATATATATATATATATATATATATACATCTTCGGTTGGCCGAGTATTTTCTTATTTGGAAAAAAAAAAAAAAAAAAAAAAAAGAAAAAGAAAAAATATCGTTCTCTTTGTTGTCCCAAAATTTGTCAGCCAAAAGAAATTGATTTCTTTTTCGCTAAATGAAGAAAAAAAAAATGAAAATACTCGCTCGTACCGTTCGATAGTTATTATTGTTATAGCCGTACAATTTTTTTTTCGCTCGATTATGCTTCAGGATCTAAGTTTGCGGTTAAAAATAACAAAAAAGAAAGAATATATATATATATATATATACATATATATATATACATATATGTATGTATGTATACAAAAAGAAAAAAAAAATAGATAAAAAATATTACATAGCACGTTCGAAAAATCGCAAGCAAATGTTACGAACGTTATTCGCACAACGACGAATGGCTGATTTTTTTCGGCATTCGTAATTTATATTTACTAGATTAATATTAGTTACGTGACGTGTCAGACGATCGGAATAGTCACTTGACATATTATATCGGAAATTGTGTTGGACGTTGACGAACCCGTCAAATCGGCCAATTCTATCGATTTTACTACGCTTCTACTACGCTTTTTTAGGTGCATGTACCTACGTACATCGTCATTGTGATTGTCGTAGTTGTTGTCGTTATTATTATTGTCGTCATCGTCGTCGTCGTCGTCGTCGTCGTCGTCATTGTCATTGTCATTGTCATTGTCGTTGTTGTCGTTGCCGTTATCGTCTTATAATGGGACAACAAATATGAAATATAAATGACTCGTGTCTGGTATTGTGTGTTTGTTGGCGCATTATTCTAAAATTAATTAACGAAACGAGATAGAAGGAGAAAAGGAACGGTCAGAGAAAGAAATAAAAGATAAAAGAAAAAATTGAAGAAATAGAAAGAAATAAAAGGAAAGGAAAATAAAGAAAAGAAGGAAAAAGAAAAAGAAAAAGAACCAATAAAAAAAAAAAAAAAAGAAAAAAAAAGGAGAAGAACGAAAGGTAAAGAGAAAAAGTGAAATGAAATGAAAAAAGAAAAGAAAAATAGGTAGCTTACAATCAACCATGTTTTTAATTATCGCCAATCAAGCTCCGCATTCTCGAAAGCACTGCAAGCTGAGCTAAATATGCTAATGTGTGAAACTCTAAACGCAAATAGGGTACTGGGAATAGAGGGATCATAAATAGGTCAGGGTTGGTTTAATCAGAATCAAGAACAGATTTCGATTACTTATGGGTCTATGCATATATATATATATATATATATATATATATATATACATATACACACACACACACATATATATATATTGAAATAAAATAGTAGCTTGCTCAACAGGAACAAACTTCCAAAATGCAAAATTTTCCAACGAGGTCCACGAGTATCATGGGAGATAAATAATAATACATACATACATTCAAAATATGCGTGTGTAAGTATGGTACGTACGTACGTACTACTATTGTTGTGAATTTTACAATTTCTTTTTTTTTTGTTTTCTCTTTTCTTTTTTTTTTTCATTTATTGACAAATTCTTTTTCTCTCGTCCTCGCTTTTCATTTGCTTCTTTTTTTTTTTCTCTTCTCTTTTTCAGCCCCCTTCCTCCCATAACTTACTTCTTATTCTTCTTTTTCTTTTTTCTATATTTTATTTTCTTTAGTTTCTTTTTTCCTTTTCCTTCATTTTTTTTCTTTCTTTTTTTTTTTTGCTTGTTTGTTTGCTTCATGGACCAAGTTTCCTTTGAACCACGTTATCCGGCTTCTCGAACTTTTTTACACGTTCAAGAAAAAAAAAAAAAAAAAAAAGAAAAAAAAAAAAGAAAAAAAAAAATAAAAGAAAAAATGCAAGAAACGAAAAGCACGATTAATTTAACGATAGTTAGCCTCGAAGTAAAACAATTTTATGTAATTTCGAACGATGTTTGAGTGTCGACGTTCTCCCGAACGCCTTGTATATATATCGTTAAATTTTCTTCGTCAAGAATCTTTCGAATGTTTCGCGATATTTCAAAATTTTATTACAAAGTTAAGAGAGACCGTTACGCGTTGTAAAGTTCAGAAATGAAAGGTGGCGCTTGAAAAAGAAAAAGAAAAAGAGAAAGAACTCGTTGTTTGATGTTCTTCTTCTTAGAGATTTATAAGTTTGAATAGTGTATATGTAAATACATATATATATATATATAAATCTATATAATATATATGTATATATTTTTCTATTTTATTCTAATTTTGTTTCTTCGAAAGTTCGCACGAGATTGAAAAGACGTCGGGGGAAAAAAAAAACGATGGTATTCAGTCAGAAATGATCGGAAATAATTATAATTAACTTATTAAAGTGATACGCAATTAATTCCATTTATGTGAAATTATCGTTTCGTTAATTATATAATAATATCTGACGTGCTGTGATGCTTGTACTCAAATACGTAAAAAATGGTTAAGCGTTCTTTCGAATTAAGCTGTAAATTGTGAAATACAGACAACGATTATAATAACATTTTGCATAATTTCGAAAGAATAATTTAAACATTATTGTTCATTATAAACGTATGAACGGACATGCTATAAATAAATATATACATATATATATATTATCATTCGGATAAATTTTTTTCTCTCTCTTTCTCTCTCTCTCTCTCTCTCTCTCTCTCAAAAGTATATTCATATGCTGTTATAACATTCTAATAATAATACTTATTAGAAATATTTTTCGTTAATAATTATGAAAGTGATTTAAATTAAAACTTTAAAAATAATTCTACATTGAACAACATTATATAATAATAATAATAATAATAATAATAATAATAATAATAATAATAATAATAATAATAATAATAATAATAATAAAAAAGATAAAAATCAATATTTCCGAATGAAATACATAATATATGATTTAGGCCATTTTCATAATAATCAAATAACTGCATATATTAAAACGTCTGTATATATTATATAATATATTACGTACATACATAACAAACACAGACATATATACGTACTCGTTCCAAATATTAAAATACTACTTAACCATTTGATACGCATAATAACGTCAAAGAAATGATTCATCGGTCAGTGGATGATCTTTGTTTAAAATCGTTACTATAAAAAGCGACATCGAATCTACTAAAATATAATTGGGGGTGAGGGGGGAAAATCTTGGCATGTGTCTCGCGGCTTGGTAAGCTTGGTCCTGTCTCTCTCTCTCTTTCTCTCTCTCTCTCTCTCGTTCTCTCTCTTTCTCTCTCTCTCTCTCTCTCTCTTTCTCTCTTTGTCTCTCTTTCTCTCTCTCTTTCTTTCTTTATCTCTTTCTCCCTTCCTCTTTCACTTTTTAGCGGTCTTTTTTGATTTTCAAATATTTCGCATAAGTTAAGTAACAGAAGGGTTCCAGGTTTAAAAGGGTTAGGGAAGAATTAGCTCGGAGTTTAATTAAAATTCGATTAAAAACACACGAACGATTGGATGAGGCTCGGAAAGGGGGGAAAGGAGGAATTTACCTTGCTCCTCAAACCTGCGCTGGCACAGCGAACACTTAGAGTCCCCGAACTCATCGAACTCGTCCTCGTAGTCGATGATTTGTCCTTCAGCTGCAACAGAACAGCCCACACGATCTTCCTTCCTATTTACTCTTTTTTTTCCCTCACGCTCTCTCTCTCTCTCTCTCTCTCTCTCCCTCTCTCTCTCTCTCTCTATTTCCTTTCCTTCCTTCTTTCTTTTCTTTTCTTTTTTATTTATTTATTTATTTACTTTTTTTTTTTTTTTTTTTTTTTTTTTTTTTAATTTTAATGATAATTTTTATTTTTTTATTCGCTCGTTCGGATCTTGTTTTTTTTCTTTTTTTTTTTTTTTATGTTCACAGGAGGGACGGATAAATCTCGATGATATAATAATTAATCTTTTTGAACTATGACATATAATGTGTCATTAATGATCCGACACGTCGTTTGATTTGACTTAAATGAAATGAATCTCAGTAGGAAATTAAATTTTTTTTTTTTTTATCTAACAATTTTTCTCAATATGTATATTAGCCGTGTGATATATCGAAATTGCAAGAAAAAACTTTCGTAGGATAAGAATTATAGTTATAGCAAAGAGAGAAAGAGTTCATTGCAAAGATTTTTGTTATTTCTAAAAATGATTAGACGCGATCTTTGATTCCTACAAAAAAAAAAATGAAAAAAAAAAAAAAAAAAAAAAAAAAAGAAAAAAAAAGTATATATATATATATAAATAGGTGACCAAAGAAAAAAAAGAATGTTTTCTTAAATTTTTTTTTTTTTTCTTTTTTTCTTTCTTTCCTTTCTCTTTTGACTCGTAACTATATCGCTTCAAGATCTATCCGTCCACCGAATCTTTTTATACACCATAGAGGCTTTTTTTATTATCGTCCCCGTTCTCGGCCTGGATATCGCCGTTGTAACTATAGATCGCACACGTATCTATTTTCGTACACACACAGTGGATATTGTTAACTAACTAGACCAAGCATATCCGTTTTCCGCCATGGTTGAATCCTTCAGGGTAAAGAAGGATCGGAGCAGTCCTATTTTTACACGCGAGCTTTTCTATTCTCCAAGGAAATCGGCCGAGGTTAGATATATTCTTGAAAGATTTTTCTTTGATGTAATTCCGTTTCAATGTTCTCGATAAGAAAGCGATAATAATAATAATAATAATAATAATAATAATAATAATAATAATAATAATAATAATAATAATAATAATAATAATAATAATAATAATAATAATAATAATAATAATAATAATAATGATAATAATGATAATGATAATGATAATAATAATAATGATAATAATAATAATAATAATAATAATAATAATAATAATAATAATAATAATAATAATAATAATAATAATGATAATAATGATAATAATAATAATAATAATAATAATAATAATAATAATAATAATAATAATAATAATAATAATAATAATAATAATAATAAAATATCCAACGATTGCCGATCGACGCATTTTTCTTTTTTTTTTTTTGTTTCTTTCTTGTTTTTGTCCTTGCCGTTTCTTTTTTTCTTTCCTTCTTTCTTTGTCTTTTTTTTTTTTTTTTTTCCTTTGAAATATTTCCTATGGGGACGACGTTAACCACAATATATACGTTAAAAAGTACACTTTCTTTTCCCCTAACTCTCAAAACAATCATTGCCATAATGTCTGTCAAATATTGACGTTTGTAGAAAAAAATATAAGCTTTATATAGAGATTATTACTAGCAAAATTGCAATGTATATCAACAATTTCACTCAAGAGTGCTATCTACGATAAAATAAAATCGGTATTGCATACAATCGGTGTTGTTATTTATATGGTCGTTAAAGTATCGTATCAATCGTTCATAAATATGGAAAAATTATTTCTGACTTTTTCTTTTTTCTGTTCTTTTCTTTTCTTTTTTTTTTATTTTCTTTTTTTCTTTCCTTTCAATCTCTTTCATAACTGTTGTCGTGGTCGTCGTTGCTGTTACTATCGTTTTTATGATTCGATATTCACCGATACCAGGAGCAGCAGGTATGTAATACCTGTTAAGAAGGCAAGATCAAAAAAAAAAAAAAATAAAAAAAAAGAGAAGAAAAAAAGAGAGAAGAAGAAGAAAAAAAAAAGAAAAGTAATAGTATTGGTAGTAGTAATATCCAAGTAATTAATAACAGTATTGATAGTAGTAATAATAGTATCGAAGTAATTAGAAAGGGAAAGGGAGAAAAATCGGCGTTATAATTAGGCGTTAAGAGATCGTTAAGGGTCGTAGAAGAAACTTCACCCCGAAAGCAAACCACGGCGGTTCGGTTGAAAAGCGAGACAGGAACCAAGGTTGCCAATATGCACTTTCTAGGGGAGCTATTTTTATTAGTATATCATTTCATATATATATATATATATATATATATATATATATATATGTGTATATATATACATATATGTATATATTTCATATATATATATATATATATATATATATATATATATATGGAGTATATACATATATAATTCTAATATATATCTAAACTCAGCTAAAGAACAAAATACAGATACAATCCAAATATAGAACATCGAACATCACCACTACGTTGCATGCATATTATGCAGATTATGCACTTTTTCTATTTCTCTCTTTCATTCTCACTTTCTCACTGTCTCACTCTCTCTCTCTCTTTTTCTCTCGCTCTACCTTATATCCCTCTCACCTTGTCTCTCTCTCTCTCTCTCTCTCTCTCTCTCTCTCTCTCTCTTATTTTGTCTCGAGTGTGTCATTCGTGTTGTGTTCTGTTTATAACAAGAAAAAGAAAAGAAAAGAAAAGAAAAGAAAAGAAAAAAGAAAAAAGAAAAAAGAAAATAAGTAAAAAGAAAAAAAAAGAAGGGGATGAATTTTGGTTGAACAAATTTTCTACTTTGTTCGTTCGTATAAAAAATTTTTCATAATTATAAAAATTATTATTTTTTTCTTTTTCTTTTTCTTTTTCTTTTCTAATACTCGAGAAGTATAAACTTTCGTATAATATATTCATCAATTAAAATAATTCGATTATATTTGGCGTTAACTTGAGGGATCATGTGTTACACGAAAAATTGTATTATGTATGTATATATGTATGTAT